AGAAGAAAAGAAAAATAAGAGGTTGGAAGACAGCTAGCTGTCTGTCTTGTATGGTTGACTCCACGAGTCAGCAAAATAAAAGCTTTTGGAGAGAAGGAAGGAATTTTTCATCCCTTCTGGAGATGTTCACGTGATGCAGTGCAAGTTACAGGGAGCTCTGCCATACGCAGGCTCTGAGCATCATGCAGCATTTGCCCTGTTTCAGCTACCAATGCAGGAGAAAGAAGACACAGAGGTTTGGCTTGTTCTCAGAGAAGAAGATCTCATTCTTTAAGAACATGCATCATTGCTTGTTTGCAGCAATTTCTTTGCCTGTCTTAGAGAGAAGATAGTCCTAGAAAAGCCCCTTTTCCCTGCTTCACCTGACAAGACATCAGTGAGGAAGACTGGAGTGACCCATAGGCAGCAGCCCCATGTGGCTCAGGACAGTTCTGAGACCAGAGGAGGTTAACTCACAATCCTGTAGTACCTGCTTCCTGCACAACTCTTCTTGCTGAAACTGCTCTCACAGAATGGATGCACAAAAGTCCCACAGCATATACAAGTATGTTCATAGGCAAAAGTGAGTGAGAAAGGATAAGATCTAAAGAACCTGGAGGCAAAAATAAAACATCATACTAGACTGGATCTAAGGAAGTATAAAAAAAATCTCTTTCCTCTTATCTTTATCTTCCATTTGACTTAAGCATGCTTAGAAACTTCACTGTGTATTTATTTTCCAAACTATGGCTAGCCTTCTTCACAGAACAGTTGGTTCTTAGACTGTCACAGAAGAACAATGTAGAGCACAGGTTGTCTAAAGCCTATAAGCAAAAAAAAAAAAAAAGCAACAACAACAACAAAAACCACAACAAAAAAAAAACAAAACATAGCCTCCCCACACTCTGACAGTATAAAACAGCATCACTCATTGGCGTGTCTGGTTTTACTCCAAGGAGCAAACTGGAATGGACTTTGGGTGCCTTATACCTCCCTCCTTCACAGTGGCCTTAGAGAACAGTACTGTAGATTCCTGGAGGATGTCACACTGAATATAACAATGACATTTTGTCATTGTACTACAGTTTTCAAAGAAAACAATCTTTCACTTTCTTTGGTAGAATATGCCAGGCAATTGTTTCCTGAAGTTTTTAAATAAGATTAAAAAAACATTTCCTGGCCAAAGCTTCCCGGTCAAATGCTTATTTCATGATCTGAAAATGCCTCACACCATTTCCAATGCCTGTCCTATACTTCATGAACTCCATGAACCCCTGCCATGACCACTTTTGCCATGTTTCATGAGCACAATTGTAGCACACAAAGTAAACCTATGGGAACAAAACAAAATATATGGAATTAAATACTCCAGTAAATATAGAACCGTTCTGATTTTTACATTTTTGTTCAAATGATCTGTACCTCCATTTCTAAAAGGATCATCGATGCTGGTGGAGGGTTTCAGAAGCCAGAACTTTATGTACAGAACTATGTTTCTATACATAAAGGTGGGGTCAGAATGTGATTCTGTGACTGACACAGTCATAGAATTGTAGAATGGCTTGGCTTGGAAGGAACCTTAAAGCCCATCCAGTTGCAATCCCCTGTCATGGGCCAGGTTGCCACCCACTAGGCCATCCAACCTAGCATCTAAAATCTCCAGGGATGTAGCATTCACAACTTCTCTCGGCAACCTGAGAAGTCACACCATTACACTGGCAGCTTCCATGAAGTGACAGTTATTCATGCTCAAAGTTGTTGGATGCGGCATTCTTTCCCTTCTCCCTTCCCCTCTCAGCTTGTATAGACATTTGTTTTGTCTAATTAGATGAACATTATCTCCTGACAGTAGAAAGTTGGCAATACTACAATCATTATTCCCTCCATCCCTATTTAACCAGAGACAGTTGAGAAGAAGTGATTGCAGGGAAGTGAAGTCCTATTTCCTCAGCTCATGATGCCATAAGAAATCAATTTGGAGCAAAGGTTCCATCTTGAAAATGTCAAATAGAATGAAAAAAGACAAAATCAAAAATGATAAAGTCAGGTCCAACCATTCCTTCAGGTCCAGATGCTCGCCTGAGTTTTTCTAGCACAGCTGACAGCATAGCTATAGGAAAAACTGCTTTCTGTACTTGTGGGTGCCATTGGGTCCTTGGCCTCAAACTAATTGCCCACCTCCCACTCCTGCAACACAAGAGAAACTGCTAGAGCACCAGTCCTGTCTGGTCAACCTGAAAAGAATAGTCTGCTGAGCATGGCTGGAGTCCTCTCTCCTCTGCACCCCAACCTAACACGCAGGTAAATCAACAGAATTCCTTCCCAGGCCCATTCTTTGCTTCCCTTGCAGCAGGGAAGGAAAACAACCAGTACTGAAATACATATATGTCAAAGGACAGCAGAGGCTTCAACCTGGAAGTGGTATTTTCTTTAGTAGTATGAACAAACACTCCACTTTCACCTTTCCAGTTCCCCTGAAATTTTCCAGATGCAATTTAGTCCCAGTGTCTCATCAGGATATAGGGTTTTTCCTTTCTCCCATTTTATGTTACAGATCTGACATATTACCCATATGGAGAACATGAGGAACAACAGGTCTGTTCCTTTATTGCCTGTACACTCAGGGAGAGAGAAATTATGAATAGGAAATTGTTCAGAGGAGAATAATGGTCATGCTGACTTAGAAAGTTTATGCTGCCTCAGGAAGAGCAGAGGGGAGCTGAATTAACTGTGCCCTGGATGAAACTAGTCCAGAGGTATAGAACTGTGTCAGCTGCTAAGGAAGGGACTAAGATTACAGGGACTTTCTGAAGGTGCTTAATGATGTAGGGGTGGCTGCTCAATCACAAAGGTTTTCTAAAGGGAGAACATCCCATGGCCTAAACGTTATTTGAAAAAATTGCTATCGGCCTCATCTTTTAAAAGATGTTGTAGAGAAAAAAAAAAAAAAAGATTGCAAGCTCTACATACAATTTGAATGCAAAATGGGCTCCAGATCCTTCACTGGCTAACTCCATATATCATATACTCACCATTGTACTAAACCACCCTGGAGAAGAGAGCTTCTAGGTACCTTTCCTTCCATGTTTTTACAAAGCATGAATCTGGCAATCTCCATCTACCTGCACTTTATCCGACTCATGAATCAGCACGAAAATCTGGGTCAGAAATACATACACACACCCATGCACTTGGCGAACCCTCCTTAGGAAAGAAACAAACAGCCTCATCCTGAAAGAGCTTCAGATCACATCAGATATGTTAAAGTGTAAGCACTGCGTATAGGCTGCCACTTCGGAGACTGCCAAATGTACTCTTGAAAGCTCCAGTCAGCTGCCAACACCATGCTCAGGAACTTGCTGATCCCATCAAGGGACGCACACACTGAAGGACTAACATTGCCAGACATTTAGTAATTACATTTAAGTTGTGGAAAAACATTCAAAAGGGCATGAGGATAACCCATTGCTAAGACACTGCAGAAATAAAGATCAACTTCTTTAAGACAATAATTCCTATAGTAATTAGTGAGATTCCTAGAGGATAATCACAGAAAAGTCATCGCTGCTCACAGCAGTGACAAAAGCACACATACATAGCCAGAAGCATAAACCACAGCCTCTTTGTACTGCAACTTAACAGAAGATGTCCTTTTCTGAGGGGACAGGAGGAAGTGGGGTGTTTGTTTTCTGCACACACAGACTAAAGTGTTAACATAAAACTGACACCAGTGGAGATGGCATAGAAGCAGACAACCTGAAAGGTACTGAATAACCTGATCTTCTAAATTTAGGGACAAACAAGTGCCACACTGTGCAAAACTGGCCTTACAACCTTCTGAGAGGGATGGAGAGGCAGGAATTCAGTGTTCCTTTTCTTCATCATATCAAAATAAAAATAAATATTTATCCATAGACATCAAAATAATAATAATAATAAAGGAGTCCAGCAGGTCCCTCCGGAACTACTTTAATGCTTTATCAGATATCACCAGGTGGGTGTACAAGAACTAACAGAAACCAGGTTTGATCTTACCAATTCAAGGAGCGAATGGTATCATAACAGCTTCTCCTTCCCAAAGCTTAAAAGCATCCTCCCAGAGCAACAGCTCCAAAAGGCAGGAGTGAAACAGGCACTGAAAGTCCTGGAAACACCAGAGTTCTAACATATTTCTCAGACAGTTTGGACTTACTGCTTACAATTACCTTCTGAGATTATGCATCAATATCAGCATTCTTTAACTTCCATCATTTCCAAAGGGCTGTTAACTACTTGCACTGAGACAGAGGAACTCTGGACATTCATCAGTAACCATGATTGAATAGTAACAAAAGGAAGTTGCAGTGCAGGATTTTTTCCTTGCAAAATCCTACCTCTTCTATTTGTTTGTGAAAGCCATTTTCCAACTCCAAGATGAGGAAAAAGCTTTAATGCCCTCCATACACCTCACGGCAGTTCCAGCTCTGTCAGATTTTGTTGCATAAGCAAATGTTACAAGTTGATGACCACTAGCTACTGTTATCACTCCTTCCCTGTGCCTTTAAGGGTGCAGCTTCTCTTTCTACATCTTCAGAGGAGAATGATGCCACACTTACCAGGAGCTGCAGGCAGGAGGACATATTCTACAGTAAAAGCTAGCAATGAATTCTGCTGGAAGCAGGAAACTCAGCAGCAGCATGAAATGCAGGAAAACATACTTATAAACTGAACATTCTACTAAATTAAAAAAACAGGGCATTGATCTTGTTATACATTTTCATATTTAATTACATATGAATCTCTGCGTATAAAGATCTCTTCCCACCACCAATTCTTCATGCCTCAGCAGAATTTCTATTCAGCAGCAGAAATAGCCATGTAGGTCGTAAGTACAAATTGATCCATCTGCTATAAAGACTAACTGCATGTGAGAACACAATTCTAAGCGAGTTGTCTGTCAATTTCTCCATTCTCATTTATTAGTGAGTACCTCCCTCAGTCTGTACGTGAGGAAAATTGAGAAGAAAGCCAGCAACACTTACGCAAGGCATGCCACTCATCCTGGCGGATTGTCTTGGTGATGTTGTAGGTGAGGTTCTTGGGAATGGTCGCTGAGGAGTAGTGGTACTTGATGTATGAGCACCGCTCAATTGCTCCTGGAAATGGAAAAATACAGAAGAGAAATTGATGTTACATGAATGCAATATGTTCTCTCAGCTGTAGACTAGATGGACCTGACAAGCAAAAGCAAAGGCTGAGAGAAAATCAGTCCCTGCCATCAATCCAGTGTGGCAGCCAGTACACCTTTGGCATACGATAGGCAAAAGCAATCTGTAGGAAAAGCTCACATGCAAAATTAAGATACAACAAAGGCTACACGGTAGCTGTCAGAGCTGTGCTTTCACCACCGGGTAGAATGTGGCAAGTCACTCCTTCTTTCCTTCCTTTTCCCAGAGCCATGGACTAGCAATACGCAGGCCAGCATTTACCACTGAGAAACCAGAAATTCCCACTGTAGCTTATCCTGCAATAACGCTTCTATGGGCAGGCTTCAGGAGATGTGCAAAGCAAACACTTTCATCTTATCTTCAGTAATAAAAGCACCACGAGAAAAATATGTATTTATAGAAAACAATTTTTCAGACTACATCCACCTCATAGCCAAGAAGCAAGACGAGCAGAAGCAAGTGTTACTGGTTATGTTGTGTCTCTGGAAGGTATCCAGCCACTTTCATAGTAGACTCAAATAGAATTTATAAGCCTCTGGATAATAAACTTCAAATGGCAACACAAATGGCTGGAACAGGCAACATTTTTGCCCTTAGAATCATAGAATCATAGAAGCGCTCAGGTTGGAAAAGACCTTAAAGATCATCGAGTCCAACCATGACTAACCATACTACCCTAACTCTAACATCCCTCTGCTAAATCATGTCCCTGAGCACCACATCCAAACGGTTTTTAAACGCATCCAGGGATGGGTTTAAGATAGGCTCCTCCCTGGGGAGCCTATTCCAGTGCTTAACCACCCTTTCTGTAAAGAAGTTTTTCCTGATATCCAACTTAAACTACCCTGGCTCAACTTGTAGGATTTCATCTGCATTCTATGGAAAAAAACAACCACGTGCTTCTTCTGTTTGACTTCTGATCACATACTCATATTTTCCTTTTATAGCTAATTTTCTTCCTCTACAATCATCATACCTTCAGGCCATCCTCTTCTGGCAGCTCTCTGCACAGTGTCCTTAGAGGAATGGGCCTGGCATAGCCCAATGCTTTTTGTAAACTATAGCCTCACCAATTTCCACATCTGATCAGAATTCTGTGGTAGTGCAATCATTCTTGCACTGGTGAAAAAGCAGTAAAGTTTCCTGCATCCCTCTTGCCAGTACCCTTAACACCGTCTTCATTAGACCCTCTTAGTGAGCATTCAGATTTAAACCTCATGAAAGTCATTTTTCCATTAATATTACGGTATTTTGGAACAGCCCTCTAATAATTAAAAAGGCATCCTGAATGCAGTTGTCCACACTGTTTGCTACTAGCTACCACTGTTCAGAGGATCGACTGCTCTGGAAATGCTTTTATGTTTTAAAATGCACTAAGACATGCACTCAGTAGAATTAAATGAAGCAATGATTTATGTAAATGAGAGAATGACATACCAAGAGGCATGTAGACAACCCTAACTGGCAACCAAAACCAAAAGGCAGAGGCGTTAGCCTTATGTGTAGCTCCAAGGGGTTAACCATGTTTTTATACCTCTAGAAATATAGGTTTCTGCTTTGGGTTGTAAAATATTACTTGGGACGGACTTTGACCATACACCATGAATTCACAGCATGAATTAAAAAAAACCCATGCAACAAAATTATTAGTTACAACTGTGTAGACTAAGCATCCTCCCAAGTTACTGCAATACAGACATTGGAGGTCCTCTCTGTTTGCTTCTTTTAAGCATTCCTCACATTCTGCCTTTGACAGCAATTAGATCAGACAAAGCCAAATATTATAAGGGAAAAAGGCAAAATATTTACGTATGTATCCACCCGCCCTGACAGCGTGATGGGCTTCTGTGTGAATCTGCACCATCTGGGCACCAAATGTACGCCCAGAATTAAAGTTTCAAACCAAGAATAGTATTTGGGGGAAAAAAAAAAAAAAAGAAATCTAGTGTGGAAAGAATTAGAATAAAGCCTGAAATTGCAACCTTGTCTTTACACGGGTTTTCCTCTTTCCTTTTGTTTACCTGCAATCAGGAGCATTGGTAAGAAAGTGGAAAAACACTTATTTGTAAGAAAATAATCTTTACGCTACCAGATACCTGCATAGAAAAAGATTTATATAGATAGCTGACAAGAGCACAGAGCCAAGACTCAAATTTAAAGCATACAGAAGGAAGAGTCTGTAAAAGATTCTATTCCACTTGCTGTAATTTCTTTAAATAATCATCCAGTTTCTAGCAAAGTTAATCAAACATCTCATTTTTACTGCAAATACTTTTAGTAGTAATGCACAGAACTTTTCACTGATTTATATTACTACAGCCTAAAGCACAAAAAGATTATGGTCTGAATTCAGATCATCACTTGACCATACGTATAATTTTAGACTTATGCTTACATTCCCATGACTTTAATGAGTCTTAAGTATACATTTAGAGACTATCTAGATCTAAGAGTATGATTGCAGTGGCAGTGCTACAATGGTATCCGAAGTACACTCAACTGTGAGCAGTAAATTCCATGATGATCTCCATTCCAGCCACACTATACTTGCTCGCCCTTCCTACATATAAATAAAATTCTGACTACTAGCCAATTAACATCCTGATTCCAACCAAGAGTTTGAAGGGACCAGGAGGGAGAAGTGCTCATTGCAGATGATGAGGCTGGTCACTAAGTGCCCTGAGGGCTGATCAGAGCATGGAATGATTCCCCACATCTGTCACACTGAAGGAAACAGACCCTTAGGTCAGGCAGATAGGGATGCTGCTCCTAGATTTTCACCCTTCTCTGAAGCATTAAGCATGGATTCACTGCTGGAATAAGTCTAATAAATTTCTTGTTACAGGGCTTAAAATACTTCAGCCTAATCCAAGGTTTTGGGCCAATAAGTGAATAAGCAACAGTGTACAGTACACCAGAGGTCAGCCCACATGATCTAAGGGGGCATTTTGGTTTGAGCCTATTAAATTTTCTTGTGAACAGTAAGTCTAACACACTCAGGAGAACACAGATCAGGGTATTTTAGAGCTATCTTCTATCAAATTCCAGCACTTCAGTTACTTCAGACTCCAGAACCATAGTGACCACTGAAGAGTGCAAGTGCCCTTCTTCATCCATATGGCCACTTACTGCTAAGAGAGACAGGCCTTTACCAGGAACCTCAAGCTTCCCATGGCCCAGTGAAGCTGTCACAAGGTTTGTAACTGCCCAACATTTAAATGTGAGCAATTTATCTTAACCTGCTGACTCAATGCAACTGCACCAGTGCATATCTAGCCAGAAGTGAGAATTAGCTTTAGAAACTTAAAGAAAAAGCTTTCATTTGCCTGGATCTTCCAGTAAAAGTTAGGGAAAGGATAAGTGTATAGCAGTGACAATTTCATACTTAAGGACATTTCCTTGCTTGCAACATATCAAAGAGAGAGCTGGGCTCATCTGCACAAACATCCCATTTCTGGAGATTACAGGGAAAACAAAGACAGTGATTGCAGCAAGGACTAGAACTTCTGCTCTCATGGAAAAGCTTCTCAGAGAAACCCTAAGAAAACTGCACCTTCAGATGGATGAAGAGTAGTGCTCATACTAGTCTCAAAGGGTGAGGAGCAAAGAAAAAGTTTACACTGGACCAGGCCCCGGGCAGCCTGATCTAGAGGGTGGTAACCCTGCCGATGTCAGGGAGTTGAAACCAGACGGGCTTTAAAGTCCATTCCAACGGCATTCTATGATTCTATGACATTTTCCTTTCCTCAAAATGGTACCCAAACTTACAGAGCACCTTCAGCCTTCAGCACTAACTTGGAACCTCCACATGACCGAGCTCACAGTTACTTGAAGAGCAAATCAGTGACTGGGTTTTTGCATCTATGCAGCTTTGGTTGGCCACAAGAAACATGGAGAAACCACGAAGATGTGCTGCTATTGATGTAAGTTCCAATTCCCTCTGATTAAAGGGAAATGTTTGCTGGAAATCCTGAAGAAATATGCCAGGTGGTTTCAAACAGAGTGCTAAGAAAGGAATCAGCAGGAAGGGACAGCTAGAAGTGTGCGGAGTAAACTGCTGTACTACCCTTATGGGGATGGATGCTCAGGGAGGAGTCTGCAGTTGTAACTCTATGGTTGGCATCCACCTGCTCCAGCAAAGTTCAGATGCCAAGTGAAATTGAGCTGAGGGAACTAGAGGTACCTTTACCCAGAGCAGCTTTGCAATGCCACTAAGTGTAGTGGCACTGCACACGCTGCTCCTCTCTTACTGATCACAGTATCAGCTTGAATCCCATCATATCTATTGAGCTATGCTCCATGCTATCGCCTTAGTATATGAATTTCCTCTTCTTTATTACAAAGAAAATCCTTGAAGTGTGCTATAGCAGGAACATCAACTGAAAATATTGTGCAATTCCTTTCTATGCTGCTCACAGAACTATCCCAATGCTCTTGATGTGAGCTCAGCTGCTGGCAAAACTCTGCTCATTGCTTTGTGAGAGCTGTAAATACTACCCTTGCAGAGGACCCAAACTGCCAGCAATGCAGGAGTGACTGAACTCTTCTCCCACTCAAAGCCAAACAGGATTGAAATTTATTATAAAGGGAGGTCATGCTGCTGGTATCCATACTCTATATCTGGTAAGTAAATGATTTTTCTCCAGAACTTTCCATCACCAGCTTCTTCAATATTATTTCAGCACCGCTCCAAGAAAAGCAGAGATGAAAACTCAGAATGCCACCAAGGTATTGGTCACATCAGTCCTAAAATTTTGTATCTCAGAAGTGCACAGAAGAATTTACCCCATAAAGTCAGCTTAACTTTTGCAAAGGTGAATCTCAGGCTTCAGGAATATATACCATCACTGTGCCCATATGGTTTAACCTTCTGCATGACGAGAATCAGCTCCTCTGAGAGCTTTAGCAGTCCTTTAGTAGGTCCTTCA